GGCCGCATTGGCTCCGACGTTCTCCTGAGACGTGCGCACGTCCGTGTTGTGGCGCCATCTGCCATCCATGCCCAGACGAACCCCTAGCCGGCCTACGCGACGGCCGTCCTCCCATCGGCCTCGACGTCGACAGCAACTATTCCCGGCACATCCAGTACCTCCCGCCAGTCTGTGGCGCAGCAGGCACAGCACCTGCATACTCGCCCATCGCACCTTCTTCACACCTGGCGCACTACGTCTCAACACCACGTCTGCTGTCCACGTCCACCGTCCACGGCTAGCAGCCCCGGCCTCGCGTCAGCCCTAGGCGATCAAAAGGACGCGCTCCGCCAGTTCACGCACCTTCACTAGCACATGCATCCACAGCCATGGCCGGCTTTACCCATTTCCTCAAGGTGAGTGACAGCTGTCACGTACAGGAAGCTTGGGCGGTGAGCGCATAACGCGACCCACCGCGCACACCAACCCCATGTGGAGGCTGACGATGCGCCTTCAGACCATTCTCGTACCACTCTTCCTCGCTGCCATCCTCTATGTCCTGCTAGTCTTCCTCGTGCTGCCCTTTGTGCGCCGGCACCGAAGCCGTTATAGCCAGTACCTGCCTATGCCCGCGAGCGTGACCGACTTCCCGTCCTCTTGGCGGACGAACCTCTCCGATGCCCTCTACAACCTCTTCGCGCCTTCCGCTTGGGTCAGACAGCGCGCGATTGTGGATGGGAGCGGACAACACGACGACGACTTGTTTGACGACGAGGAGGGAGAGGGCATGGTGGGCTTTGACCCCATCGATGAGAGGAGAAGAGAAGCCCTCGAACAACGCCGGAGCATCATGGAGGAAGAGCGGCGATTAGGCCGTGAGCTGGAGGAAGGCTTCAAGGATGACAGTGAAGATGAGCATGAAGACGAGAGGCGGCGGTCCTTGTCACGACATCGATGATTTCTATAAAACCCTTCCTCATACAAGAAAACACGAACAACTGCACTGCCGTCTACATTAGCGTAAAAGCTAAGATTCTATAAGATGCTGAGATAATGTAGGTTTCTAGGAGGTAGGTGTTCGGACTTTCGCTTGTATGAGGTGTTCACATCACTTCGCCTACAGTTTGGCCTTTCTTATGCATCACATCATCGGCTGGAGTTGGAGTTGGAGTTCAAGTGGATATATTCATGTACATAGGTAGGCGGAAATACCCATTCGACGCCCAAGCCTAAACAAAGAAATTCGTGCCAAATCGCTCAAAGAAGACAGAAGGCTGCTGAAGAAGATCGCTCCTCTACTTGCGCTGACCGTACGCCTTGGTGGCGTAGTCGCCCTTGTGGACAATGAGGTCCTGTAGATCGAAGTCAGTGTATGTCTCACATGGTTTAGGTTTAGAATTTTACTCACTTCTGGACGGTAGTTCTCGCGGCCGGAGAAGTACTCGTCGAGGATAGCCTTGGTGCCGTTGGCGTATCGCTCCTGGGCATCGATGGAGGTACCGGACATGTGAGGAACCATGGCGTTGCCGCCGCCCCATGGGTTCTGGGCGTAGCGGAGCGGGTGGTCCTTGGGAGCGGGCTGAGGGAACCAGACGTCACCACCGTATCCACGGAGGTGGCCGTCCTTGAGAGCCTGGGCGACATCCTCCTTGACGACGATCGCACCACGGGCAGTGTTAACCAGCCATGAGCCCTTCTTCATCTTGGAGATAAGGTCCTTGTTGAAGAGACCGCGGGTCTTCTCATGGAGCGGGCAGTTGATGGTGACAACATCACACTGGGCCAACATCTCCTCGAGGTTCTCGACGCGACGGCAGCCAATCTCCTTCTCCTTCTCAGGAGACAGGGGCTGGTAGTCGAAGTAGAGGAGCTCCTTGCAGTCGAAGGGCTTGAGACGGCGGAGCACACGCTCACCGATACGGCCGACAGCGACGGTACCGACAACCTTGTTCTCGAGATCGTACTCGTTCTTGGCGACCTCGGCGACGTTCCACTCTCCCTTGGCGATCTGCTCGTGGGCGGGGACGAAGTTGCGGACAAGGGTCAGGATGGTCATGACAACGTGCTCGGCGACGGAGACGACGTTGGAGCCAGTAACCTCGGCGACGGTGATACCGCCGTTGGTCTTGTTGGCGGCATTGAGGTCGACGTGGTCAGATCCGATACCAGCAGTGACGGCAAGCTTCAGGTTCTTAGCCTTGGCCAGGCGCTCTGCGGTGAGGTAACCGGGGTGGAAACTGTTGATCGCGATCTGTTAGCTGATGCTGGCTCGGATGGTGTTTGCAGCCTTAGCGTGTCCGGCCGAAGCTTGACGCGTGCATGTGGGGCGCTTAGCGGCATTGCGGGGTAGCTCTGACGTACGGAGTGGTAATGATAACCTCAGCATCGACAAGGTGCTTGTCGAACTCGGAGTTCTCACCCTCCTTGTTGGAGGTAGTGACGAGCTCGTGGCCTTGCTCCTCGATCCACTTCCTGATGCCTAGCTCGTTCTCGGTGGTACCGAGCATGCGAGGCTCCTGCTCAGCGTGGACACCACCCTAGTGTTGTTGTTAGACATGCCAACGCGCATTGGGAGTACCATAGACACTTACATCGTAGAGGACGAGAAGAACTTTGCCCTGTTGTGAAGCCGTCGCGGTCAGCGTTCTGAAAGCATTCGGTTGGCGGAGCGACGAAGTTAATCGAGGTCCGGCGCGTGCGCTGAGGAGGGAGGAGGCAGGGCGCGCAAGGCGAGAAGCAGATCGGAGAAATACCATTTTGACTTATCGAACTGATAGTAGAACAATTGAGGCTCCGAGGGAGAGATATATAGTAGAAGCCGGCAAAGGTACAACGAATGGTACGTATTCCTGACGCAAGGTATGTCAGCCTATCGTCCCGGCAGGGGGGAAGTGAGGGGTGCGTGGGTCGGTATACCTCTTGCGGGCCGAAGTGACGTCGATGTATGGTAGAGAAGTTAAATGGAAGACCGGATGCTACACTGGACAATGTTGGTGTTGTGAGAGCAATTGAGGGGTTCGTGAGGGGGCTTTTATATACCGCCGAGCAGCCGCACGATCTTCTCACTACTTTCAGCCTCTGATCCCTGGGTCACCAGGCAGACGAGGTCGGTCATCCCCACTTGGTGATGCGACATTCCCACACAGACAAGTGGTCGCGGCGGGTGTGACGGTCGTGTTTGGAATTACTTCGCATCGCTGATAGTGCGGGGTCGCGTCCAATGGCGCGAATCAGCTCCCAGACGCGCCAGGGGAGCTCTACCAGCTGCTTACCCGTTTGATACTCACGAAGCTTCGCCGAGAAGCCCGTAGCGTAGTCTGTGGGCGTGGGTCAACACGGTAGCTCCTGTAGCGCGTGGTCGTTTGACCCGATCGAGCAAGAATGTACGTAAATCGAGGCCTGGGAGTGGCACTTCACTGGCGTACGCTAAAGCTCCATATGGAGAGCTCCCGAATAGCTTCAATTCGGCATTGTGGAAGGATCAATATGGTTTACGGAGCTGGTATCGTGACTCTCAGAGGCCCGAAGGTCGTGATGAAGTGTCGTTCGAATGGCTGTCCACAGAGCTCTTGCTGGGCTCCAGCTCCGTATGCGACCACAGGAAAATGCATCTCGCGCAGAAAGAACTGTGGGCTCGGACGACACACCCACAGCATCTCTGGAAGGTCGTGCCCGTGCTAGCGATGGCAAATCCAAGGAAAGTGGGCTTGCGTCCGAGCAATCTAGACGCCGCTTTGTACTTTGTCCGCGGCAGGACAGGAAATGCGGAGCTGCAGCGGTTCAAGCTCGCAGTCTGCGGATGCGAGATGTCGCCGTTGCGTCTGACGAAACTCGCGGGAAGCCAGGTCGACGGTCGGCGCAGGGGGTTTGTCTCGGTCTAGACGGTTGTAGGCTGGAGATTGTTCTTATCTTTCGGCCGAACCTCGCTCGGAAGGGCGCGCGCGCCAAATTCGCGTTTCGGTAGTTCCAGCCTCCAGGTACCCCCACCACATCCACAGAATGACACTACGCATCCCTTCTCCCGATGTAGCTGAGGGACCCGATGGTGTCATAGTGTCATCTCGCCGGCATCTCACAGAGGCATCTTCTGTCGATGAAGAGACTTAGCTTTCCGGTCCCGCTCTTGCCTATCGTTGTATTAATCACACAGCTTCTCCGGCAGCTCCGCCTCCTCTCGATCACCTTCATCACAGCTGAAAGATCAAGTCATCACCTCTCCGTGCCACAAGATCGGCGTTTGCTTCCATTATAGCCCTCCCGTCGTCCAATAGGTTGTCTAGAACTCTCACATTGCCACCCGTACAAGGGAAAAACTAAACAGGTCTGCAGTCTACATTAACATGGAAACCTGCAAAGTAGGTGCCCTAACGTCGATGTAGGCTCCAGACCTGTTCAGCTTTTCCCTAGGCTGACGTGTTGCCGTGTTAACCATCGTGGCGGTTGTGAGATGGGCGCTGGATAGGCAATGATGCCGCAACACCATCCCAAAGTCGGACGGTCTGTAGAAGAGCTCATGGTAACTCTCGGTGTACTATATTAATCGTTGATCTGGCTTCAACATATGAGTAGTCCCGGACAATTCTCAATTGACTGGCGACAGCACTCCAAAACAAGTCAAGTAGCGGCACACAGATACCGCAACGGAATGGAAGATGCGCTTCATCACAAGTTCTCAGTTTGATGATTTTGAACTATTTCATCACTCGGCAATTCTAGCGGCTTGCTCCTTTGCTCAAGACGCGTGCGGGCCACAGAGGAAGTGAAGGTGAGTGCGGATAAGCCCAAGCTCCGGTCGCGACCCAGAGGGCAGTCGCGACCCCCTCTCAACCACCGTCTTTTCTTCCATCTTCTGAACCCGACACTTTACAATCGGGCGCAAATTGAGGCTATTGTTCTACCACGGTCTCAAAGAAGGCGAAGTCTTCACGCTGGCTATCCCACGGAAGCGCACGTCTGAAGGTGAGTGATCACTAACCTGATAGTGACAATTGTTTACTGACGTCAACACAGGCGCTGTCACAATGCCTACAACCGGAGGCAACGCAGAGATCGTTGCAAAAAGAGGCGATGTCATACTCCAATCGGGCCGAGACGGAGTCGGAGAAGGATTTCGCAACATCCTCGTGTCGTCCGTGGTTCTCGGCCTCGCTTCACCAGTCTTTGCGGCTATGTTCGACGGCCGCTTCTCTGAAGGCCAGAATCTCTCGCCGGCTTCACCACGCACTGTCCCGCTTCCAGATGACGATCCTGAGTCCATCATCATGATCTGCAAGATCGCACACATGCAGACTTCGGAACTTCCCATCAAGCTCGCCGCCACCGTCTTGTCCAAAATTGCGCTTGCGTGTAACAAGTACGATTGCGCGAATGTGGTTCGTTCATGGGCTATCATCTGGATTGGCGCCCTTCTCGAAGATCTCGAAGCTCCAGATTTCGAAAAGATGCTTCTTACCACACATCTCCTCGAGTTGCCGAGAGAGTTCTTCAAAGTCTCTCAGAGATTGGTGCGTGACCCTACCGCGATCTTCAGCGTCACAAAAGCCATGGATGGTCACGAATTCCTGCCTCTGGCTGTGTACGAACATCTACTGCTTTGTCAAATTGTTTACCAGAGGCAAATTACTACGGCATTCGCTTCGATTGTGACAGGGCTGGAATTTTGTGCGGCTTCAAAGCAGGCCTTGGGTACTTTTATCTGCGGTCTCAGGCGAAACAACCTTTGGCCCATCAATCAGTACTCGGTCTTGATCATCAAGTCCAAGCTTAGAGCCGTACCTGAGTCACCTACTCTTTTTGGGAGTTGCACAACCCCGAACTGTGCTTGCAAGTTTGTTGCTCGATACACTAAGGCTACCCTTATAGCCGAGCTCGACAAGATTTATGATGCGGTGGATGGTCTTTGCTTAGACTGTGTTCGTCAAAAGGTACTCGGGGAGCAAAAGCGGGAGTGTCGCGTGTCCCATGCGATGAAAGAAGCGATGGTCTACCCTTGATCGCCATTCGAAATGCACATCAAGGCATGCAGACGCTTGTCATAAAGCCTGGAAAAACTATGGTGTTCTCGGCAGCGCCTTACATCTTTTCTCTCGCAAGGTTTCGAGACGCAGGATCCCATGAGGCCCTATTTTACACTAAGATTAGGCCCGAAGATAGAAGCTCTATCGAGCCGGTTCTAGCTAGGCTTATTCTCCTTGTAGCCCTGCATGGGCATTGCATCCTTCTCAGATAGAGTGCAATCAGCTTTCCAAATGAACAAGATTTTCTCAACGTGACACTCTTCGAATTCGTTATCTAAAGTCACATGGTTTTCTAAGTAGCTCTGCGGCACACCTCGCGTATGTCCGCACTCATCAAACTCGGTACATCTCTCAACGCCACGCCGCAAGGTTCTTTGGCTCTACATCACCCCATTGAAGGGAAAAGCTGAATACCCTGGGGCCTACATCAAGATAAAAACGTGCAAAGCAGGTGGCCCAACAGCGACGTAGGCTCCAGGGTGTTCAGTTTTTCCCTGGTATGAGGTGACACTTACATCTCAGTCTTCGGCTCGAGAGCAACCTTATTGCGTGTCGCTATAGCCAAAGAGTTCGTTACTGTTGCCGCCCACGTATGATACTCTTCCCACCACACTTAATCCTTGTCTCATATGCAGTGCCCTGATTTTATCTGTATCAATGACGTACAGATTCGTACACCTCTCTATCTCTAAGCGGAAGGCGCAGTGACGGTGATGCATTGATGCATTGTTGAAAAGGACACCGACATGGTACCATGTTCATTAGGTGACGGATTGGCTGGCAAAAAAGCTGTAGGCCGACATAACACGGTTAACATGGTGGCGCCATGGAACGAGAAGATGTTCTTGTTGATAAGAATTTAGGCGCCAAACGCACCATATGCGCTGCTCTTAAGACCCGTCCGCCAGTATCGTGAGTTCGTAGTTTAGCCTAGTTAGTCGCCAAGATCCAGATCTACTCGGTAGAACTAGCTCTGATCATCCCAGGAGAAGGCGCTATTCCGGACTTCGTGAGTGATGCGTAATGCTGCCGAAAGCGCTAAGCTGGGTTCAGCGGAGATGATGCGCGAGCTTGTGGATATCTTGCGGGAGATCGACAGGAGCGGCCAGCATTCGCCATTATCATCCCGGACTTCGGTGTCGTGATGTAGGGAAGAACTGGTTCGGGGTTTGAGGGTCTTCGGGGGGGTTCAATTAGGCCGCTCGCGGGGTCAGACTCGTCGCTATTCTGTTTTCTCTCGTCCAACTATTGCCACTTTTTGTATCTAATGCGGTCGAACCCGATTCGTACTCATCTTCAAGCCATGAAGTCGGACTGGTCATAGATGATGGAGCGGGTAAGACACGAACTTCAGCTGCTCGCCATACCTCGCTTGCGCGCAACATCCAAGTCCGAGCTCGACTGGCGCCTCGGCAACTCTCGCCGCTTCCCAAATGTCCCTCCGCTGACACCTCCGTCCGCTCTCCAACAGCCTGCGCTTACAGATCTCTGACATATATGCTTCGGCATTCCTGGCTAAATGAAACAAGCTCCAAGTCCGCCCGACGCCTGATCCTTCGATCCCTCATCTCTCTGCCTGCCAACGATTCGCCATGTTCCTTGTGATTGGGCACGTGGTGCGTCCGCCTTGGTAAACCCGTGCATATCTGTACCATTCCTCAGCTCTTAGCATGATGTCCTATACGCGCAACATTCGTCCCGATGCTATTAAGGCCCAACGTTCGATATTAAGTACAAGGTCACGCCGTATGGTTTGCGAATATTCCCTCTCGCCTATTCGCCAACGTTGGAGTATCTAGACTTCGTTTTCCTCAGAGTGGGAAGCGAGCTTGTCTACCGTCATCACGAGGAGGGGATCCGAAATTGGTTTCCTGGGGAAATTAATCTATCCCGCAGCATTCTTGGGGTAGGTTTCGCAAGGGCGTGTCGCTTCTCCACCAAGGAGCCTAGTGAGTGCTTGCTCCTAGAGACGGCGCGAGGGGTTTGCCAGGCACGCTCTTTGTTGTATAGCGTGGGAAGGTACGCCTGAGCTGTGCTACGGTCGATCAATATAAAGAGCCCGGGTACTGGCTTTCCCCAGAGTAGGATTCATTTCGCTACAAAATTACCGACCGAACCTTGAAAGCTTGCGTCCTCGTCTCTCTTCTCTCGGAACGCAAAACAACGTCTGCGCATCATGTTTGCCAACATCCCCACCACGCTTTTCCTGCTCGTCACCTCGCTCACCCTCCCTACATACGCTGGAATTCAACAAACAGACTTTAGCGGCATTGGTCACATCTACGTCTTAGCCTCCGACAACTGGGGCACCGCAACCCCAGAGTCAAGTGTAGGATGCCTGAATGCGCATGGCAAATTCGTCCATGACAGTGGGAGCGGGAAAGAATGCGGGACATTCCAGCGCATGGATGACTACCCTTATACTCTTAGCACTCACAATGGCAACTGCACATTCCAAGACGCTAGTCAAGAAGAGAACGTCGACAGTCACTACGGACAAGGCGATTATGCGTGGACGTGTACGGAGCGCAACGTTGACATTTACGACGAGCTATACACCATAGTAAGTATCGTTCCCAGCTTGGTTCGCCAGAAGACACTGCTAATGCGCACGTAGACCGGATTCCCATACGTCTTCCTCTGCTTCGGAGATGTAGCATGCTATTACGATGCTAAGCGTGCCCCTACTGTCAACGAATCTCTTCCTTTATGGCAGTTCCGTTGGGGATCGCAGCAGACCGGCATCACGCCGGGACATATCATGCTGCAACTCATGTGGAAGAAGCTGGGTGATACACCAAAGAGAGAGCAAATGAGCGAGATACCAGGCCCAAGGATTCAGCTTAGTGAGGGCATGCAGATATCATTGTTGGGTCAAAAGTCAAAGGCGTAGAGATGTTGAGACCATGCAATTGGGAAGAAGCGCAACGCGTGGGAACACTAAGCTATGATATCCATTTTTTCCATACATGAAGGGGCGGGCGGTCTCAATATGTTCTATCTGATGTAAGCAACGCTGTAACTGTCCCCGAGTCTGGGTCGTACCGTATATGCAGTCAATATGATGTGCGATGCCAGCTTCCATGCGCAAATTAATCTTGGAACAGTGCTGTTTCAGATCACCACACGGCATGGATGTCATTAGAACCTTCCACGCCGCCGTAACACCGTAAAGCATGGGTCAAAGACTTAACAGATGAAGATAGGGGTTCAATTTAGTTAGGTGAAGTTGATGCCGATATCTGAAATCCAAGCTACTTGACCACCACTCATTACCGTCTATGACTGCCATTAAGTTTATCCAAGATAGGACCTGCAGAGATGAACCACCGCGGCCAATAAATTAAGATCACCATCGTCGTAAGATCAACCGACCCGAATGTAGTGCAATCACACTGACACCGAGATACCTAGGTCGTAGACGACGGAAGCAAGATTCACTGCAAAAGGTCAGTGAATGATTGGTGTCGTCGAAGATAATGCGAGTACATACCTGACCTAGCACATCGTTGTTGGGGTCGTGAGGAGTAGTCTCGACCCTAACAGTGCTCGAAGACTCGTAGGTGTTGAGATGTGCATGCTGGCACTTGTAGGAGCCGTATGTGCCAGTCAGTGGTAGAGGAAGCTTATGAACGTCGCCGCAACCGACGGTGAAGGCAGCTTCCTCGTCCGACATGGAGCCGCCGCAGTCCTTGTTCTTTTGACGGTTAGTTTGTACAGTTGATCTCGAACATGCGTTTGAAACCCACCTTCCAGAAGCTACACTCGATGTCCTCGACGCAGATCATGATTGACATGATGTCGTCGTTGTTGCTACAACACGTCAATGACTGCGATGGAAGAGTGATGAGAATGCGTACAGTGGAATACACCTAGTGCTCTGTTTATCCATGAGGAGGAACGTAGGCGCGGATGCAAACTCTGCTTGGGAGTACACGGCGCCGACATCGCGGACATTGTCGTTGTTGATCATGCCGATATGCGGACTAGGAGCCGTAAACGCCATGCCGACGACGATGAGGATAATAGAGAGAACGTGCTGGTAGTACATGACTTCGATAGATATATTGTCTTTTGTATTATAGTTCGTGAGAAGTTTTATAGTTTAAGAGAGCGGTAGTGGAGGGAACAAGTTGAAGGTGGAAGTGTGGAGAGGAAGACTCTCGGGGGAGGTAACCGCTGCCATTTATGTTCCGCTGGCACGAGGCAAACACTGACAAGCCTCGCGATTGGCGACACGATCGATTGCCACCTTTGGAAGGCGCAAGGGGGAAGGCGAAAAGATTCCGCCCTTAGCTTCCCGGACTCTCGGTGTAGCTCCGCGGTAGTCGCAGAGCGCTCCGCAAAATCGTTCTCTCTCTGTGCTCAGACCTACGATGCTGGCATATTGGTGAGGGTGAAAGGGAACTGCGATGCAAAGAAGCCATAAATGTGTGGGTCTCCAAGCGTTTTTGCCTGTTCCACACCCGACCATACTTTTTTCTTTGTTCCAACATTTACTTAACCTCACCAACATGAGAAGATCTTCAGTCATGCATTGAAGGACAGCAGGGTCTCATACGAGCTTTTGCATAGTCTTCTTTCGCTACGCTACCGCCTCTGTGGAAGCGTAACCGAACATGCGACTGTCCAGCTTGCGTCAACCCGGATCTGGCACTCAAAGTGATTGACAGGGTAATATATAACTCGCTGGTGGTCATGCTCGCTTTCGGTTAAAGTGGGAAACAGTCAAAACCTTTTTCATCGATAGCGACGCTTATGCTCTTGGTTGAAGATGACGACGGAAGTTCAAGCTGAGTATGACTCGTGCTAAAACAAATACTCGTAGTTCTCTTTTCAACTGCGATACTACGCCGTGGTATACGTCTCGCTGGAACTGAATGTCATCCAGACTATTGGCTCTTCGATCGAAATCACAGCGGATGCATCGCCGGACAGCATCGCCATATCTGCGACCAGCTTCGCTGTATAGATCGTCTACAAGTCGATTCGCGGTATTCCATTCAGTCAGGATATCGACTTGTCGTACACCGGTATCAAAAGGCCCATCCTCATCCTTCCAAAGTTCTTGAAGAGGCTTGCCATACCAGAGCTCTATCAACGCGACACCAAGCGCGTATAAAGGCTGATTACGAATGATGTGATTCATTGACTTGGGCATTCCAGCTTCCGCAGGTGGTGTAGTACGACTGAAGTCCCATGACACAAAAGGCTGGTCGTACATAGTCATTCCGGGTTGCTTCACGAAGAAGATACTGTCCTTACCCCAGCACTGGTCAAGCCATGGGGTCTCATGAAGCTGCAAAACACTCGAAGCAAGTGTGACTGCCAATTTCAAGCGATCGCGACGAGCGAAAGTTGTGTCGTTCAAGCTCATGTGCAGCGAAGAAATCGACCATGTATCAGGGTCGAGAGGCATCTGTTTCGTTGGGTATATGTGCACACCATACTTTTGCTTCGCGATCTCGCTAGCAAGCAAAGAAAAACAAACTTCGCGCTGTGGTTTCTGGAGCTCCGAAATTGCAGCGCACAAGTCTTTTATGGGCTGCATGTTCGGACGTGCTTCCAATGCTGCTCGCACAGCCTTTTGCACATTCCGCTCTTCAAATCGAACACCTTTGGTTCGTCGGACACGCGCGGTAGTGTCTCGAATGGGGTCGACTCGTACGTCCGCCTCTTCCCAGGACCAAGCAACAGTCAGTATTGATTGTTCAGTTGCATGATTCCTGTCGTAACGGAATAGAATGTGAGATAGGTTGCGCATCATATGCGCATCATCCTCCTCATCCTCCTCGCTCGATGCGGCGTCGATGCGTGTTTCTAACCGCAGACTGACGGTATGGTGCGCTGAGCACGGCAAATTCCAACCTGCCTTCAGCGCTGAATGAAAGCTGTCTGCTCTCTTGCTGATGATACGGAAATCCGGGACTGACTGACGATCTGCTGTGTGGGTCTCGATGTACGCGGTCTGATCCATGGATTCGTTAGGCGATCAAGGGCCTGATTTGCGCGTCGCAACCGTTCCATCAACTCCGTGGAAAGTGGCTGATCCCGGCCCGTATCGATCACGGTGAAGGTAAGTCTTCAGTGGAAGAAGAGGGTCATCCTCGCTCATCTGAATGAATTTCCACGAATGGCAAGTCCACGTCTGGCGAGCTGCGAGGAGTGAGGAGGTAGTCGTAGAACGCGATGCCGTTAAACTCTCGAGGTCTTTTGAGATCTACAACTCACTTCATCTGTATGACCGCTCACTCCACTCTATGCAATAACGGAAGTTTACTAATACTGAGAACCTTCAAGGGTGCGCGAATAGGTGATAGGGTACTGCCGTCTTCAGCGCAAACCTTGGCCGGCCGGAAGGAGCCCGATCAGGCTACCTAGGTAGTGTGGGGACATGACGTCAGCCAGGAAACTCCAGCATGACAACATCTCCCACTTGTTCCTTCACGCCACGAACACGAATCTCATCAACCCCAAAGCTCATGATTGATACTTGACACCGAATTTGTCGAGACGACCTCGCTATGCAGGACATATGGTCGCGTAGAACAGCCATCAAACTCGGTTTCCGGCGCATTTTTCTCATTCTCCAATCATCTTTTCATGTCAAATACTTTCACTGCGTAATCCTACCTACCTATGCTTGTTCTTTGTCACTTTGCGTCCATGTTCACGAGAAACGCGAGTCCAACAAGTGACCTGCTCCGCTTCGCTGCTGGTGCGCGATTGTGAGCGCGACGGGGAGGGTTTGTCGTCACGCGAAGCTCAACTTGGGAGCTGCAAGTCATGTCTCAGTCGCTCGTAGCTAGGTTTTTATGGACGTGAACACGATCGCAACGAGTGCACCAGTTTCACGACCGCGCGCTCCCTCCTGGAAGTCATGTACGCGTTGTCTCTCTTCCTCAGATCAAGGCCTCGCGCTCACTCTAAGCTCAGTCTTCTATGTTCAGCGGTGTTGATGATTTCGAGATACTCAAGTCACCCCGCCTTTTGTCTTTCTCGCCATCTCCGGTCCAAAGACTTGTGAATCAGCGGTCTTGTAATTTGAATGTCACTATGTTGCTTCTTCCTCGATCGACGGCGTAAAGCAATCGTGTCAATGAAAAAAAGGTGTTCTGCGTTTCCCTCCCGGTTATGTTGAATGCCGGATGTTGGGGTAAGGGTAGAACGGGTGCTGGGTTTTCGACCGTCCTCAAAGGCACCAGCGAGCCTCCAAGTAGACCTCTAGAGATCTCCGTATCGTCTCCGTCGCTCACCATCGTTCGTAGATCAACTCGCACTGGCGAAACTGTTGAAAGCTTCTGTGGATTGGCATGAGGTCCCCCCCACACAAGTTGAGCCTTTTGGTGGCTATTATGCCGACTCGACGCTTCCACCCGGTGAGCGAAGTGATGTGGCTGGAGGGTATCTCCAGGCGGCTATTGCACGTTTAGTAGAACAGATGGGTAGGTGGGTCACTTACGATGTAGCGCGATCGGGTGGCGCGGTTGAGTAGCGGGTCGAGGAGTGTGGTTGACCTTGGAGATGCGAAGCGGTAGAAAGTAAAGAGAGGAAACGGGGGAGACAAGCGGTATTTGTATCGGGTGTGTGGGTGACTGTGCGCGCTAGCGCGCGTTGAGAGGGTGACGCAATATTGCAAACGGTCGCGGTGTTGACACAGTCTTAGATTTCTCTCTCACTTGACTCTCTCACCTCCCTCTCACCTCCCGACTTCTTGGATCTTACTTCCGACTGTCGCTCAGGCCGACAGAGATCATTGGCAAGATGACACAGCACGGCGATGAGGCCCAATTGGAGCGCCCTCAAACGTCCATTGGTCTTGAGGATGAGACACCTACATCCGCAGAAGCCCAAGGCGACAGTCCAGACCCCGATATGACAGCGCACGAAGACCCAGCGATCCCAAGTCAAGCTCCGCCGAAGCGTCCTCGCTCCTGCTCTTCATCGGAGCCAGAGGATGTGGTCTCAAAGAAACCAAAATTGAACGATCCCGCGCCCGTAGCTACATTCGTCCCCGCGCCTGTAGCTACACCCGTCCCCGCGCCCGTTGCTATACCCGTCTCTACTACGCCGACCAATGGACCTCAAGGCCTACTCAAGCTTCCAGCAGAGTTGTTAGACGAAGTGATGGTGCATGTAAGTAAAGCACTTTTAATTTTCAGATGCTTTAGCCAAACAAAGAAGAGCACTGCTAAATCATACAGGTTCGCTATGGAGTGAAGGGTAGACAACATTTGTACGACGTCAGTCTCGTCTGCAGATCTCTTCAGGACCACGCCGACCGATTACTCTACGAACACGTCGCCATCGACATCGACCAAAGCCCGTGTCAGGATGCTAGCTTCATGGCGGATACCTATCTGCCATGTACCCTGGACAAGATGAAACTTTACCAGACTCAAACACTGAGTCTCTCTGCTTCGAATGATAAAGAAGTTGGATACATTCTGGCTGAGTTCCTCATGGAACTCCGCGATGTGCCGTTGGAGGAGCTTCGACTTTGTCACGTCTCCGTCACTCGCAAGGTCGACGTCTATCTCCAGACCCTGTTCGATGCCGACACGCCACTGAAGGAGAACCTCAAAGAGCTGCATCTTCCATGGGCTTGTGACTCTATCCCGCAGCCACACCGTATGATGGACTCTTCGGTCGACTATACGTTCCAGCCTACCCGAAGAAAAAGCAAAGAGGCACTCATGGTGCACGGTAGCGGGTACAAGGCTATGTCACACCGCAATACAGAGACAGGCACGTCAGTGAACATGTTCAAAAGAGTTCTCGGCGCCTTTGGGTTCCCGACCGCACAAGGTTTCGAATCAGTATCATGGTCGATGCGATGGCCCGAACATGACTGTGCAAACATCTTCAACATGGCTCCTGCGCCACCCCCCGCCATCCGCTGCTTCAACATCACGCATCTGCGCCTCGGTCACTTCGACTTTGGCCACGGTTTCCCCCAGGATACTTACACATGCATCAACTTCTCCAGCATCCGCTGGCTCGAACTAGATGACTGCCAGCTGCTACCCCGCTTCCTCAAGCACTTCATGGCTAGTGACGTCAGTCTTCAGAAGCTGGACGTGCAGAACTGGGACTACGCTGAAGAGCTTTGGGACGATGATCCCAACGGTCTTGAGGCGTTTCTCGCTTCATTCTCGACCCTGAAAGACCTCAAAGTGGTCTCGCTCAACCCTTGGCAGCCGGACTTGGCTCGGATGATCGCCAGCCATTCTGATCTGGAGTCATGTGATCTAAGCTTTGGAGCGAACTCTCTCAACGTAGGTATGCTGAAGAAAATCTTGGCTATCCGTCCCAACCTCAAGCGGCTGGGATTTCGACACCTCATGTTTGGACTACCATGGAAGCATGACGGCTTCGGTGGCAAGATACATGGCGTTACCGGAGCGCAGATCACCGGCTTCGACAACCGTTTTGCCGCCTACGCCGAGGTTTTGGCAAACTTCTCTGAGCTGGAAACGGTCGTTGCTTACTTCGAGCCGTTTGAGAGCGATGGTGGCTCTTCCAAGGCAGGCCCAGGCGGCGACGATGCTCCTGACGACCCCATGCATCAACGGCTCTCTGATCGTATTCTGCAAGAGATCCGCAAGGTAGCCAGTAAGAAGGGTCTGGGAGAGTCGAAGGTTGCAACCATGGTCCTGCACGACAAGGCTCTCGCAGGTGAGGATCTCCTCGGTGAAGAGGATGTGGTTGATCAGAACTACTATGAGAGGGAATACAAGTACATGAGCGGTACTAGTAGCAAGATGAGCTTCATTGCATAGATAGGATGTTAGCCATGGACACGTCTTGGATTGTTTCAGATAGTAGTCTCAACTTGATCAATACGACTTCAAAATTTCCTTCCATTCTAGTTGACAGCAGCCAACCTCCAGCAAATGTTGATCAAAGCAGCCGTAGCAGTGACATGCGCAGCCGTCCTCGGCAAAGCCACGTTGCTCAGATAAGACGGGTAATGCACAAGCAACTTGGCGATGACATGGTAGCCGAGCAGGTTCACGATCTGTACATCTCGGGGCGCAAGGACCTGCGCCAGCGCGGCAGCAAGGGCGAAGCCTGCAATCACGTCCACGTTAGCGACAATCTTTACCGATAGAGGGCACTGCGAGAAATGCAGGCTTACCAGGGAAGTTCTCCATAAGCGCATAATGCGCACTCCTCAGCCTCAGTGGCAGCCCGTCGAGCTTGTGGATATGCTTCCTCGAATGTTCCAGGTCAAGACCTTCTTCCCGTCCCATGGCCTGTCCTGCTGCGGAGAGCGCGCCCGATGCGCCGAAGGTCCAGAATATGTATAGAGCTGAGAGGGCGGGGATTGCGCGTCCGGAAGTTATTGCTGTAGTCTGGATGTTGCTATCAGTACGATATCAGGATAAAGAATAGAAGACGTACAGTAACTCCTGGAATCAACTTGATAAGCGCGTGAACCAGCGACTGAGTGACGCTGTTCGGTTTTGTGAGGAAGGAGCTATTTGCCCAGTCAGTTCCAGTCCGGTATGACGAAGGGCTTCGAGAGCCAGAGAAGACGTACGTAAGAGGTATGGCAGCGAGATACATGGGCGCAAAAGCCGCAATCATCGCACCCGAAGGATTAGCACTACTCATCCATTAGCAACTCATCGCATCTCGACTTCACAGCGACCAAAACTCACATGCCGTTCTCCGCAGCCACACGCTCAGCCTGATCCTTCTTCTCCGCCGGAACACGCTTAACCTGTTCTTTCTTCTCGTCGGCCATATTCTCGGGTTTATGTTCGTACATGAAAATCCGTAAGTAGTTATCGCTCGGGAGTGGTGGACAACATGCAAGCACGCACGTCAGAAAGTCCCAGACCCACCTTGACTATATAGGCCTGCCAGGCTGCCAAACAATGCCCATTGTCGTTTCTAGACTGGGCCTATCGATGACGTGGGGCCGAATCGCGGCGCACGCAGCAGGGGCAGGGAAAGAAATGGTGGAGCGGAACTATATCCCTCGTTTGCGATTGGCTGGCGTGACTGCCACAACCGGATGACCCGCATGTCCGTGGTTCGGAAATGGGAGTAGCCGCCGTGGTTCTGCGGGGTCAATCGGGCGTTTGTGCAGGGTATTTGGAAGCATTGAAGTTGATAGGCGCAGTGTAATGTGAGGTTTGGTGCGTTTGTTATCGAGTTGCAGTATACAGACAGGCCGATAAGCTGCATGTTTGCGAAAGAGATGAGTTTGTTGTGTCGCTGTAGGACCGATTAACATACTTCCATCAAATTCACATGTCAAAACGCGCTCAGAACACGACATATCAAAAAAAAGCAAACTTCAAGGTATTACAGACAAGATCTAGATCATGTTCCACGAACGACCACAAACAAAAGCAAACTCTATGAATCTACACACATGATCTAGACCATATAGAACGAACCAACACACCCAAAAGCAAACACACCCGCGGACCAATATATACTCCATACCTGCCCGCACCCGCGGACCATCTACACCCCATACTCAACCGCCAACCTAACATCCTCCCTCTCGGCTCTCAACTCCCCTCCATCCTCATACTCCCCATTCCGCCGATGCTTCACCACCATCTTCCTCGCCCTCACAACAAGATGCTCAACCACTGCGTTATCCAACTCCTCCTCAAAAGGATTGACATCACGTACCAGCATGATGAGTTGCGCGCGGGATATACTGCGTGAGCGCGAAGCGTCGTTTGGGGTCAACGACCAGCTTTCTGTTACGAGATCCCAGGTTCCGGCCCAGAGGTCGGTGACTAGGGTGTCGATTGCGAGGGGGAGGTTAAGAGTGGGTGAGGTTGGGGCGGAGAGGGTGTGCGAGGTGGTTGATGGGGATGGGGATGGAGATGGAGATGGAGAGGGTGAGCGGCGACGGCGGTGGAAAGTGCGAGGTGGTGGTGTACCGGATTCGTCAGCAGAAAAAGCTACTGACGACGGTCGTGATGATGAGGGTGAGGACGAAGGGGTTCTACGACGACGAGGGCGATGCCCCTTTTCCTGTCTTGTTGGTTGTCGTCCGCGTACATCTTCTTCTGTCTCGTCCTCATCTTCTTCACTATCCTCATCCTCATATTCATCTCCATCGCTTTCCTCATCATCATCATCGTCAACCCCCCTATTGAATAGCACAGCCTTACAACTCGGACAAGTCCCACTCGCCGCGCTTCCAGATCCCAACCACTGCAGCAGACACGTCTCGCCAAACACGCATTGACATTCCGGATGTGCGGTGATCTGAACGACTTGGTGGCGATCGGTGCAACGCTGGCGACATATAGAGCAGAGAACTTCTTGCAGGGTGATAGGAGTGTGGATGTGGTGTCTTATGAAGAGGGCGCGGGATGTTGAGTCGGGGTGGTAAGGCATGGTTTCTGGTAGCCGTTTCTTTGGTTGGATGACCTTTTGAGTGTCTTCTTGTTGTGTTCTGGTGTCTTGCTAGTGTGTACATCTTTGCATGTGAGCCTCTGGTAAGGTAGATATATCGCTCTTGGCCGTAGTCGGTCTGAGACTTTTGATGTCTAGAGACACGTGTCTGAGTATGTCTGAGCATGTCTTGCAAGGCGACAAAGAACTACAACAGCGTAATGGTCTAGAGCACCAAGACATGGGCCCGTACCAGGCGAATGTCGCAAGCTATCAATCTCGGTCTCAGAAGACAGCTTCCCAGATGCGAGTCGACACTTCGAATTCCAAGTCTTGACACCCCCAACACCAGTCCGTTCAAGAATAGATATTATGCCATTGTATGCTATTAAGTCGTAATTTCGTCGCTTTCATGCATAGACAATACCTATACAAAATGCTCCAGACATTAATGGGGGAAAAGACCAAATTCTCTGACCAAGACAAATACAAGAAGTATAGCAACTCCAGTCCCGCACACAGTGCGAGTAGTCGAGAGGGAACGCTGATGATGTAAATGGAAAATGACAAAAAGGGAAAGGAAAAGGACCAGAAAAGATGAAAGGGATGAGGGCGGACATCCCAGCAAACGCCTTTCCCGCACACTCCATGTGCTTATGCAAGATATTCCCAGGCTGATGATGCGACAACGCCCAATAGTCTCCTCAGGTAAAGCAAGCTTTTCAACATGTTCCAAACATATCATCAATCTTCTAGTCAAAAGATCTCATGGCCCAACCCTCCAAATCCATCATCCCCAACCTTGACCTTCTTGCCCTTGCCCTCCATCTCACGCGGTATACTAGGCACATCAGGGACGTCCCTACCATCAGGCACAACACGCACAGGCTCTTCGCTCTTCAGATTACTCCTCGAGAACCTCTTTGTGAGCCTCGAACTGGACCGTCTGCCAGGGCTCTTCTTGCTCGCTGTGCTCTTGACGCGTTTTATACTGCGCTCGGTGGTGCGCTCCGACACCTCGGCTTCAGAGGCGGATGCAGCAGAGAGCATGTCAATGTCGCCTTCGGAGTCGGTGGGTATGGGTTTGTACTCGCCGTCCGAGTCGTGGAGGGTGGCTTTGCGCTTCTTTACGATCTTGCCGATGCTGGCGGGTGGCTCAACTTCGACGGGGGTTGTGTTTCGTGATGGGTCTTCGTTTTCGCTCGGGGTGACGTCGGGGGTGGGTGGTGCGAAGTCGGGGATGCGTGGGACGGGCGGTATGTCGTTGTAGAGGACGGTCTGGAGCTCCTTCTTCGCAGAGGCGAGCTTGTACTCGAGGTCAGAGACGCGTTTCGTGAGCTTCTTCTGCTTGTGCAGGTCCTTCTTGCTGGGCGTGTGGCGGAGGGTCGGCGTTCGCGGTGTACGGATGGGGGTCGCTGCCTCGGCCATGGCTGCGGTCAAGCCAAGCTGCATCTTCTCAGCCGCAACAGGCTGGGATGGTGTACCAAACTGCCGCGACCTCATAGCAGGTCGTACGAAGACCTTTGGTTGAGGGAGAAGGCCCAGGTCCTTCGCTTCATGATAGGCGATTTCGGCATCCCTCTTGCGCTGGTCGAGTAGTTGCTGGTGCTGGTCCTTCTCTCGCTCCGCGTCTGTGTTCCCAGCTTTGCGCTTGCCCAGAACACTGCCGAACATGGAAGCGAACGCGCGCTGGAGGCGGGCATATGTTGTCTCTGTCGGCGCGGTTGCCGATGCCTGGACGCTTGTGCTAAAGCTGGATTCCGTAGGGGTCCCGCTACCAGAAGCAGCCCTAGAAGAAGCCGACTTGACCAGGCGGGGCATGCGGTTCGCAGAGCTCTTTCTCGACGTCGGCGGCTTCGAGTTCTCCTCGTTGAACTGCTCGATCAGCTCTTCGATGCCGATGTCTTTCCATAGCTCGTCCGGCGGCGGTCGTATGCTGCCGTTGGTGTTTGTGTGTTCCTTGAAGCGCGACGCGCGCGGCTGTGTCGACTCATCGGCGGCGTCGTCGCTCATGGCCAGAGCCGTTGCGCGTGTAATGGGCATCCGTCTGGGGTGCTCACGGCGCTAAGATACAGTGAGGTGGTGGAGATAAGGGAGCGCGCCTCGAGGAAGCAGCGAGGCGGCAATAAGGCGGAGAAGGGTCGAGGGTGTAGAGCGGAGGAGCGTGAGTGTTTGTTTTGTGCAGAAATTAGTCGAGAAGTTGCATCGCTGGTTGCAGCGTCGGACACGACAATTACTGGCTACGGCTTCCGAGGTGAGGAGGACCCTGTCAATGCGTGACTTGGCACCCACTCATTGCTCGCTACTCTCCACCACGGCCCGTGACACGTTGTCTACTATCGTTCACCGCTTGCAATCTTCATCCCTTCACCAGCGCATCAGCCGGGAAATCTCCACAGCGGTCGGA